ATATTAGCCTTTATGCAAGGTTGAGAAAGGAAAATTAAACCCTGTCAGCTCAGCCCATGAGGCTATGTTTATCTTATGTTGGCTGTAATGTCACACAGGAACACAAATGGGTGTTCCCTTGACAGTAAAACGTTGACACCTACGAGTCCACAGAGGCATCCCTCAACCACAATGTGCTGTCATGGACTGTGTGAGCTGCTCTTAAGCATTTCCTCTATCTTAGTCAAAACCTCACATGCCAAGAAAACCCACGCCCTCCTAAAGCTGAAAGCAACTTTAAACTGAGCAATGCAAAACACAAAGTAGATGCCAACTCATCCATGAAAGACTTTACATATTCATATGTATGAATCAAGCTTCTTGAGTGATGTTTCAGTGGATACTTGGACCACAGTGAGCACCATTAAAAGAAAGAAATTCCCTTCTGTAAGCATCAGTCCTGACCAGCACAGCAGGAACTCCATCTGGGAGGTAAAATAATTACATTCAGCTTCGTTCCAGATCAATGAAAGAAAAAAATGCTCTCTCCGACAACAGCCCATTACAGTATTTTCCATTTTCATAATAGAATCCCGCTCAATCTGAAGCAAGCTTGACATTTAACGAACATTCTTTGGTAGTCACAGCAACACACGCTTCCTCCGCACTCAATCCTGAGGCTAATTCCCCGAGGTGTGTGCCTCAGATGGACAGGGGTGTCAAACAGGCCATGCAGGGTAATTGCAAAACCTGGGGTGCAGAGCCAAACACTCCACTGTTTGCCTACCAATGACGGGGATGGGGTCCTTGCTTGTTAAAGCCTAAGTGAGTGTGAAATGTGTGTAGTCTGCCTAACGACATCTTGACAGCCTATGATGAAACTCCACTGTCACAGCACTCAGACGAGATGCGATTATACTTTATCCTTTCAGCAGCAGGACCTTCAGGCCCAATATAGCAGCCTCACTGTGTTCTCCATCAGTCCAGACACATTATGACCGGTTTTAATGAGCGCAGAATTACAGGCAGCTGTTCAGCCTCGTCCCTCCTGAACAGGAAACAGTTCTGGTCATGCAAATGACTTTCTACTAAGCAGTTTGACCACAAGGTGTTATGACTCAAAAGCCTCAACTGAGCATGTTAAATGCAGCTGATTTTAATAGTTGTGCTCTAAGATACTTCTTGAAATCAACAGATAAACACTTAAAGTTTGAGACTTTGAGAAATACTAAATGCTTTCATGGTCAGAGTTAGATGAAAGGATGACCACCACTCCCATATCAGCTCAATGTGAAGCTGGAGCCAAAATACAGTTACAAGCTTAGCATACATGCTGGAAACAAGGAACCAGCCTGGCTCTGTTTGAAGGTGAAATATAATGCCTACCAGCACCTCTAAAACTCACTAATTATTAACACTTGATATCTACTCTGTTTAATCCGGGTTAAGGTTTTACCAGGGGTTATGTGCTGGATTGTTTTATGGCCAGCAGCTGTGACTTCCTGGAGTCTCCACAGGTGGCTTAACAAACCCAAGGTGAAAATAGAAACCACAACGTGAGACATGTTTTCACTTTGTACAGATTCAGCAAGCAGGAAACAATGTGTTAATTAGAGCGAGCTAAAGGTGCTGTTAGGCAGATTCGTTTTTTACCTTTGGACAGAGCCATGCGAGCTGTTTTCAAGCGTTTCCAGTCATTATTCAAAGCTAAAATAAGCTAGCTGGCTGCTGGCTCCAGCTTCCCATTGAATAGAAAGATGCATCAGTCCATTCAATGGGACTTTTGCTGCTTTCACATGCTCCTCAAATGGTCCTATTTCCCTGGTTAGGAAGTCGTTCTTCCGACTCTGTTGTGTTCATAAGGTTTAAGTCATAATGTGTGAACTGAACAGACACTTCTAATTAATCTAGGTCACTTTACGAGGATAGAAGCTAACAGTTACAACCTAATAGTACATTACAAATTACATGTGAGCAAAGATTTGACATGCAATACATGAATCAATAAAAGTTTATTACCATCAACTGAACACTTACTTTCATCCGCCATGTTTTAGCATGTATGACATCAACTCAGTGACTCGTGTACCAAAATTTCCCCATCTCTTAAGGTGGTGTTCCGTCTTGAGGGAACCTAAATTTTAGTAGTCGGGAACTCTTTTCTAATTATTCCAACACCACATGAATGCAGGGTTATTCAGTACCTCTTCCCTCCATTAAGTCGGTAAATGAGAGGATAATAGAATGGTATCCGTCAATGCTAAGCAAGACAGAATAAGCAGATCCTGTTCCTGTCACAAAATGCTGCTTAGAAACTTTGATGATGAGGCAGACACCTGATCTACCTGATAACAGATAACATTAATAACAAATTAGAAACTGTACACTCACAAAAACATGTAATTCCTCAACTATATCCCCAGCTCGGCTGTAATAAAACACAGTATAAGCACATGAGCAGCGTTTCCCAATTAGTTGTCTCAGTGTGAATGTAGTCTGAAGCTGGATGGAAAATGTTTGGACAGCTTGAGTGCGATCCTTTCAATTAAGGGCTGTGTGAACAAAAGGCTACCCGTATCAACCCAAAACAAACTCTCCTTGGACTTGAACTGGTGCAGTTTGTTAAATTCCTGTGTGAGCACTCTTGGCCCTCTTCCACCTCGCTCATCTCCCTGCTTTACGTGCAACAGCTGCACGTCCCCAGCCTAGTCTCCGTCCAAATGCCAGCATTAGCAGCACGCTATGAATACTCTGAAGTTAAAACTGTCACAAAGCATTTGCCATGCTGCTGTCCTCTTGCATTTGCCGCAACACAGTCAATCGCTTACGGAGCGACAGAGATTTAGTCATACGCAGACATCCAGCTCTGTCTTTCTGACATGTGCGTGTTGGAGGCTGCAAAAAGCCTGCCAGCTACTTTCTTATGAACACAATACAATGACACAAAAACAAGCTGAAGTAGAAACAAAGAATTGGGATTTTTTTAGCATCATTTGGTTCATTTTGCTTCCATGCTAGACACTGAGGGGTATTTCCAGAACTCATTTCAGGCACGGTTACAGATTTAGGATTCAATACACGACTGCTGCCAGTTCCGGCTGAGCGGTGGGTACTTATTTACTATGCTCCTATTAAAAGATGTCAGGGTAATACCGATTTCATTAATGTTTAGCGTACAACACGAGGAAGTGCAGCGAAAGCAAAGGGAAGCTAAAACAAAGTGCAAATTGTGTTTGCTGAGGCGAATGTCAACTTCTGTGAGAGCCAGTCCGCTGCATGGTAGATGGCCTGCCAACAGCTCCTATTCAACAACTGAACACATCAACACAGACTGAGGGAGCAGGCTTCTACTGGTGCCATTTGGCTCTATATATATGTGTGTGTGTGTGTGTGTGTGTGTGTGTGTGTGTGTGTGTGAAGGTGGGGGTAAAAGAGAGAACCCACGGAGAGCTGACAGAGTGTGAAAAAAAGGTGTTTTTTTTATTTGGCAGGTGAGCAGAGAAGAAATTCTGATTTACAATTAAAGAGAAAGATGGTGTGTGTGTGTGTGTGCGTGTATCTGCTTCACCACACATCACACACACACACATACAGTATGTGTGTTTGCTCATGTGTGCATGGCAGCTCTGTGCTCTAAGGAGGGAGAGACCATGTACTTGTCAGTGTCAATGAGGACAATGCACGTCTGAAGTTATCCAGAGGGCTTTGCGACATCCACACACATGACCATCCATACAGTATATAATTTGATGTGTGTGTGTGTGTGTGTGTGTGTGTGTGTGTGTGTGTGTGTTTGTGTGTCTTTGTGACAAACACCAGTCAATGCATCACCATGGCTGGTTTGCATCTCTGAAACAAGTACAGGCATATCTTGCAGTCATAAAGATCGAGTAGTTTCCCATACATGTTCTGGTGAGTCTTAAAGGAGCAGTGTGTGAGACAAGGGGGATTTAGTGTCGTCTAGCCATGAGGGATGCAGATTGCAGCAGATGAAACTTCTCCTGGTTAGAATTTAGAAGTTTTTACCAGGACCCGAAATGTCTGCAGAGGTTTCTTACTCTCCAAAACAAATGGATCTGGTGATTTAAACAGTTGAAAACACTAAATAAAGCAGTTTAATGTTACAAATCGAGGTTTCTCCCATGCTGTTTGGCATGTCGGCGACATGGAGCCGCCAGCCTAGCACCTGCTAATGTGTGCTCACCTGTTTTCTCTGATAAGATCCAGAGCCGAATTATCTGCGGAACTCTCTTCCCCCTCAAAACAAATGGTACAGATGATTTAAACTGGAGAAATCTACGAAAAATCTGTGTTTTTGTGGTCAACACAAACATGCAAATGGCCCTATCTTGAGCCAGTGTTTGGTTTGTCCATTCTGGGCTACTGTAGAAACATGGCAGACTCTATAGATGAGGACCCCCTCCCTACGTAGATATAAACAGCTTATTCTGAGGTAACAAAAACACACTGATATTTATTTACAGGGGATTAAACACTACAGAAAACATTCTTATTATATTCTATCCCCCTAAATCCTTCACACAGAAACTTAAAAAAACCACAAGAAGAAGAATGCCAAGCCATAACCACTGACACACAATGTAAACAAGGACGCAACCAAGAAGGAGGAGATAATAGAGACATTTTAACCTTGCTACCCCTCATATAAGTCAATTATTTTCATATGAATATTAACACACAGAGGAAACACACATTATGTTATGGTGGAGGGCAACAAGTCCCTGCACCAGCCTCACTGTCTGTCCCCGCCACTCACACTGGGCTCACAGCGAGCACTGAGGCTGCCGCAGTCACAACTACAGTGTCAGTGAAGTTTCCCAATGCGTCCCTCCACACACACACACACACACACACACACACACACACACACACACACACACACACACACTCTCACACACACACACTCAGCCCAGCTGCAGCAGTGATAGGACACATAAACAACCACATGAACACAACACAACTTTTACACAGAGGTGTGAGGCTATGAGACGAGCGCTTACCAGAGACAGAGGGCTATCCAAAAATCTGCATTCAACGGCTGCTTGAACAGAAAGTGGTGTTGGATTTGTTTAGTGCGCGTGTATCCTTCGCTTCCGGTGCTGCATTAAAGACACGAGAGTGATGTTGTCTGAGGAGGAGACACACAGGGAGAGATGCGACTCCTTCTACACCCTGCGCACATTTCTGGACGTGAGAGACACGGAGCTGTTCATATGAGTCTGCTCCGCTCTGAGCTCCGCCAGGCAGCAGGACGCTGGAGGGAGGAGGAGGGACGGAGAGCCGCCGCGGCGCGAAGCTTCATGGGAAATGTAGTGCACTGGTACAAAAGTTTGAATGGCTCTTGCTGCAAGAGAGATTTTGAACTGAATGAGCTCCATACACACTCACAGCAGTTTTATACTGAATTATACTTAAAATATATACAAACTTTATATATACAAAAGATTTTAAAGGGTCTGTATACGATATTCAGAGCATTAATATGGCAGCAAACAAGTATTTGCTATGTAAGATATAGTGGAGTACTGGCTTCCTGAGCAATGAAGTTATACTATCGCTGTGTGTGTTGTAATTAAAGCTTCTCTGTTGGTTATTATGGCGGACTGTTCTGCTGCCCCTACGTTAACACTGTTAGCTCTGTCATCATTGCTACCATTGTTAAGTTCAAGGTTCAAGGTTATTTAGGCCATGTTTACACGGAAACGATCCACTGAAAACGGAATTGTTTCTCATTTTCATTTTGAAAATGAAAATTTTGTGCACTCAGATGAAAACGTTTTTATAACAATCGTGGTGCCGTGCACACGGATCCGCAAAAATGACCAAGAACGCTGTAGTACATGTGCCAGGCCAGTAGTTGGCGGTGTGACTTTGTAATGAAACAACACGCACCTGCACACATGTGCTTCCTTCTACAGAGTGGTAGTGTATAAACATATAAAATGGCAACCTACACTTTGCTGGAGAAGTGTTGATAAATTCAACAGGGTGAGCAGCACGAACAGAGCTCAGGAGTCCGCCATTGTTGTTGTGATGGTCGACTTTCTCGCGCATGCCTAGTGACTGGAACCGTGATGCGCATGTGCAAAAAGTCTCTGTGCTGTTTCCAAACAATTGCACTTGCTCGTTGCGTTTTCAGGCACCCAAAACACTGCTGTCATGTAAACGATCAGCCAAAATGCAACTAAAGTTTGCTGTTTTCGGTTGAAATCATTGTCATATAAACAGGACCTTATTGTCAAATGAACAATAAATACAAGAGCATTGTTACAATAATAATAATAAAATCAAACAAGTAGAAACAAAGAGGGAAAATAAATATAAGGATATTGGGAAATAAAGTAGTGCAAGTTGAAATGAATGAGAAAATATATATAAAATAATTGCGGTTTGTGGTGTTAGCTCTGTTTGCGGTGTTAGCACCATTAGCTGCTAGCTATAAGCTCAGCCACCTTCATGTTGAGAACCATGTGCAGACAATCCCAACTCAGATTTTAAAATTATAGATAGGCTATGCTCTGAATTTTTTATACAGTTCCTTTAAATAAAATAGTGCGTAGGTGAGCTGGTCAGTTTAGTTGCATATGTTTTTGTACGACAACATAAAACCAGATAGAAGACAACAAACAGACAAGACAGGAGGAGGCCAAGAAGCCACAGGCTCCCCTCAAGTCACCAATAGAAAAGGAATAAGAACAAAGGGCTCACCAAAGCAGCCAACAATAATAGAGACGTAAAAAATAGAAAATGTGTAAGTCAAATACCAAGGCACAAAAAAATAAAATTGGTGTAGTATGTTGTAGCTTGTGATTTCAGGCTATAGCATGTAAATAAAGTGGACTTGCCTGTTACCTGTGTTCTAACAAACGTTAGTCTTTCTTGTGCTGTACCAGAGGCATGTCAAGATATAGGCCCAACTGTAGTTCTACCAGTGTTGACAATAAACGTCATATTTAAAAATAAAATGCTGACATCATGGTAATACTACACATATGATAATATCGTGTAAATAATCCAGTGCCTCTTAAATTATTTCTTTCCATTTTCACTTTGTGTCCCTCCCCCAACACCATCTGGTTGCCTTCACACTCCCCATTAAGTGTAATTGCTCTTTTTAAACAGTTTTGTACAGTTAGTTAGAGACTCTCTAACAAAGTTAACAATGAATGTGACTGATAACATTGTTCTACAGTTTTCTATAAATAGCGATTGTTCACACCAGCAGCTTTAAACAGAACAGACTGCCTCAAGGGAGATTTTTGTTTTCACCCATAATGATTCTATGATTTCTGAACAACATGTTTTGTTATATCTCACATGCAAACAGAAGCATATCAACTGCTGTTGTTTTTCTAGCCAGTGATACTGTGAATGCATGGTCTCCACATTCCCGGGGACGCCCCTAAGGACTTCTGGGAGCTCCACAGGGAGACAGAACCTGAACAGCAACTGGTGTAATGACCACAGTATAAGTGCTACTTTCTTGCGCACTATTAGTCTCAAGGGGGAAATACCTTTTCTACAGCAGTAAATGCAGTGGTATTTCCTCAGAAACCCCCTGGGAGTTCTCACATACATTGTTATGATCTCTCCCAATTCATTCTCTGAGGAGTGGCTCCATGTTTGACGATCATATCACAGCTTCTGTACTCATATTCACACTTAAACTGGATGTAACCCAATGTGTGAATAGCAAATGGTATATGAGGCCTGTAACTAACTGTGGTGTGACACTGAAACAAGTTATACAACACTGTAACAATGACGTCCTTACACCAAGTAGAAGCAATAATGAGAGCGTAGCAGCATTAATAGTTTCAGAAAGGACACAAGCAGAATGTCTTAAACACCAGTGAAAAGGATATTTCATGAGTTGCTGTCGTGCTCAGGCAGAGAACTAGATTAATGAAATCCTGCACCAAGACAATACCTTCATTTTCTTTGAGGTCAAACATCCCCCTGAGCATTCATTGTTTCTGAGCGCTCTCCCTACTTACTCACTCCTGGACTTACAGTACAACTACTTAATCTTAAAGTATCTGTGTGTGTGTGTGTGTGTGGGGGGGGGGGGGGGTGTGGGGAGTGTTTAGGAAATGCTTCTGCCTCTCAGTAGCCGTATGTCTAAATTTAGAGGCCCGTGCCTCCACTGTCCAACTGTCACAGGCTGCGTCGGACTGTCGGCCGCTCAGGAAAGAGACTTGAGGCGTGTGTTGAAGTTAGGATAAATTGTACCAGCTTGGGCGGGCTGATCTGAGAATAACACATTTGTTCTACACACACCCTGAAACAGTGTGGCTATAAATACGCAGCTATACTGAACAGAGGTGTGAGCACAGTGCAAAAGTTTATTTTCATAATGCAACGATGAGGTGATTGGTATGTGGTGTGTTTTGCTGTTGTCTGGAGAGTCAAAAATGTCTGACCACTGAAACTTAATTATCAGACTGTTGAGGAAAATATCATGAACTTACATTTATGTACATTTACATTATTAATGTGGCCAGGGGGTGAACACACACACACACACACACACACACACACACACACACACAGCTGTAATCTAGACTGTGAAAATCAAATTTGAAAACCTTCCCTCGCAAAATTGTTGTTTTGATGTCATGCAGCAAACTCCCCCATCACACACACTTACTTATTTCACAGCAGCAATTTATGCCATGATTAAATTCGACTGAAGTGCTCACACAGTCAAAATTTAAATACAGTTCCATTTCTGACATGTTTCTATACCCTGACAGGGCGTGACCTTTCTCATCTGCGAGTGCAGGATGCAGCAGTAGCTGGAGACCATTTCCCATCCTCCCTGTCTATTTGATTATGAGATGTGTCTGTTTGATTGTCTATTTGGAGAGCAGCACCTCCTTTATTGACTTAGTGCAGTGACAGACCCCCCCACTCATCTTCTGCTAACGTAATTCTGCTCTGTGACATCGTTTGTCAGACAATTACAGGAAGGTGCCACAGTGGCTCTCCTCCCGACTTTGCTTTAATGAACTTTGTCAGGTCATTGTAAACCAGATGGTGCTATTTACATACTACTAACTTGTACAAAGGCTGTTAATCTTTCTACAAGTGGTGTTATAAGAGTGTTACCGTGTGCTTAGATAGACACCTGACATTATAGCAGTGAGCAGGAATGTGGTTGTACGACATCAATGCCTGCAGAGCTCCCATTAGTTTGATACTCCACAACCAAAACAGCAGGTCTCAGCACAGACACCTTCTCTAGACCCCATCTTGGAGATGCATTTACACATACGGCGTGCAGCAGTACAGCCCATAAATTTAATGCTTCACCTCACACATGTTTATGCAGCAACTCTCAAAGAGCAAATGCAAGAAGCAAATCAATGTTGTCCCAGACTTTGAAGTAAGAAGAAGAATATTTTTATTTCAAATCCATGAAGTATCAAGGTGGGGATTCATATATAGTTCACAAAATATGAATAGAATTATTAAACTAATGAACAGGCATTAAAAAAAAACCTAAAATATCATTATCATCACCATAATCATTACCACCATGGATTTTTGTATTTGTTAAGCCTGCATGACTCAGATATGATCCAATTTAATTCAAAGAGCCCAATATCACAAATCATAATTTGCCTCAGAGGGCTTGACAGCATATAACACCCCTCTGTCCTTGGACCCTCACAGCTGATAAGGAAAAACTCCCCCAAAAAACCCTTTAACAGGTTAAAAAAAGGTGTGTACAGAACATAACAGATCAAATAATAGACGTACAGTGAAACATATGACCAAATTATATATTAAGACAGGGAAAGACAGAGAGAAAAAGAGAGACAGAGAGATATGCACAGCAAACAGTGATGACAATAGCTACAATAACATTAATTTTAGTAATAATATTGTAATAGTAATAGTATAGTATATTGTGGTAGTATGTATAAGTATATATGTGTATGTGACAACAATAATCATATATGTACAATAATAATTGAATAATAGTTCAATTTATGTCTATATGTGCCAATTAATGACATATTTATTCATTATTTATATCAACATCCCAGTCCACTACGTCACACTGCTGTTATTGATCCTCTGCCGCCCTCTAGTGGCCCACACGAGACGCGCTGCAATCTCCGCTGAGGTCAGAGGTCACAGCAGAAAACATGGCGGCTTCCAGCAAAGCGCCCGTGGTGCTGAAGGCTGTGAAGAAAATAGCGATTCAGTTTTGTCCGTTTGAGACT